ATGGATAACATTGTGAAGAATGGGAATTCCAGAACACTTAATTGTGCTCATGAAGAACCTGTACATAGACTAAGAGACAGTCATTGAAACAGAACAAGGGAATGTTGAATGGCTTTAAATCAGTAAAAGTGTGCAATGATTGGGTTAATTTGATAGCTAAATTCTGGTTTGCCTTCTAACCCACAAAACTGGTTATTTTTTAATATTCTTTCATTTCGTAAAACTTTTTAAAATAAATTTAGGCATTGAGCTATTACTACTATCCAGAAATCTCCAAGATTATATCCTTGGCTCTTCACTGTGCTATAAAATATATTAGAAAGTGAAAACCTCAGAATGTTCATGAAATAGATTTTTTTTTGACAATAAAAACAGTTCTTACAGATTTTTTTTTCCTGTACCTTCCATTTCACTTTAAACTACCAGTCTATCATTTTATATGTTATTTAAAATCATAATAATCAGAAATCTCTATGTGAACTTTCTATGGACTATGATGTGAACATCTTTTTATTTCTATTGTTGTTATTGTTAGGTACCATCGAGTCGGCTCCAACTCATAGCGACAATAGAATGAAACACTGCTCGGTCCTGCACCAGCCTCACAATCCTTTCTATACCTGAGCCCATCACTGCAGCCACTGTGTCAATCCATCTCATTGAGGGCCTCCCCTTCTTTTGCTGACCATCCACTTTACCAAGCATGATAACCTTCTCCAGGAAATGGTCCCTTCTGACAACATGACCAAAGTACTTGAGACAAATTCTAGCCATTCTTGCTTCCAAGGAGCATTCTGGCTGTACTTTGTCCAGGACAAATTTGTTAGTTCTTCTGAGAGTCCATTGTACTTTCAATATTTTTTTTCTAACACCACAACTCAAAAGCATCAACTCTTCTTCGGTCTTCCTTATTTATTGTCCAGCTTTCACATGCATATGAGGCGACTGAAAACACCATGAGTTGGGTTAGGCACATCTTAGTCTTCAAAGAGACATCTTTGCACTTCAGCACTTTAAAGAGGTCTTTCACAGCAGATCTGCCCAGTGCAATACGTCTTCTGATGTCTTGACTGCTGCTTCCATTGGTGTTGACTGTGAAATTAAATAACATGAAATCTTTGACAACTTCAATCTTTTTCTCCATTTATTGTGACACTGCTTATTGGTCCAGTTGTGAGGATTTTCATTTTCTTTATGCTGAGGTGTAACCCGTACTGCCGACTGTAGTCTTTAATCTTCATCAGTAAGTGCTTTAAGCCATCTTCACTTTCAACAAGCGAGGTTGTGTCATCTGCATATCACAAGTTGTTAATGACTCTTCCTCCAATCCTGATGCTGTGTTCTTCCTATAGTCCAGCTTCTCAAATGATTTGCTCAGCATACAGATTGAATAAGTATGGTGAAAGGATGCAACCCTGACACACTCCTTTCTTGATTTTAAACCATACAGTATCCTCTTTTTCTGTTCAAATGATATCCTCCTGGTCTATGTACAGGTTCTTCATAAGCACAATTCTGGAATTCCCATTCTTCTCAATGTTATCCATAATTTGTTATGATCCACACTGTCAAATGTTTTTGCATAGTCAGTAAAACACAAGCAAACATTTTTCTGGTATTCTTTACTTTGAGCCAAGATCCATTAGACATCAGCAATAGTATCCCTTGTTCCACATCCTCTTCTGAATCTAGCTAACATTTCTGGAAGTTCCCTGTCAATATATTGCTGCAACTGTTTTTGAATTATCTCCAGCAAAATTTTACTTGCATGTGATATTAATGATATTGTTTGATAATTTCCACATTCTGTGGGATCACCTTTCTTTGGAATGGGTAAAAATATGGATCTCTTTCAGTCAGTTGGCCAGGTAGCTTCTGAATTTCTTGGCATACACAGTAAGTGCCTCCAGTGCAGCATCTGTTTGTTGAAACATCTCAACAGGTATCCTGTCAATTCTTGGAGCCTTGGCTTTTGCCAATTCCTTCAGTGCAGCTTTGACTTCTTCCTTCAATACTGTTGATTCTTGATCATATGCCACCTCCTGAAATGGATGAACATTGACAAATTCTTTTTGGTATAGTGACTCTGTGTATTCCTTCCATCTTCTTTTTATGTTTCCTGAATCATTCATATTTTGCCCATAGAATCTTTCAATATTGCAACACAAGGCTTGAATTTTATCTTTAGTTCTTTTAGCTTGAGAAACGCTGAGTGTATTCTTCCTTTTTGATTTTCTAACTCCAGGTTTTTGTCAATTTCATTATAATAATTGACTTTGTCTTCTCAAGCTGCTCTTTGATATCTTCTGTTTAGCTCTTGTATCTTGTAATTTCTTCCGTTTGCTTTGGCTACTCTCTGTTCAGGAGTAAGTTTCAGAGTCTCTTTGGACATTCATTTTGGTCTTTTATTCTTTTTATATTCTTTTTCTTTTTAATGACCTTTTGCTTTCTTCGTGTATGATGTTCTTGATGTCATCTTACAATTTGTCTGGTTTTTGGTCACTGGTGTTCAATGCGTCAAATCTATTCTTTAAATGGTGTCTAAATTCAGGAGGGATATAATCAAGGTCATATTTGGCTCTCATGGACTTGTTTTCATTGTCTTCAGCTTCAACTTAAATTTGTATGTGAGTATTTGATGGTCTGATTCACAGTCAGCTCCTGGCCTTTTATGGGCTGTAGATATTGAACTTCTCCATTGCTTTTTTGCACACATGTAGTCGATCTGATTCCTGTGTATTCCATCTGGTGAAGTCCACATATATATCCTCCATTTATGTTGTTGAAGAAAGGTATTTGCAGTGAATAAGTCATTGGTCTTTCAAAACTCTATCATGTAATCTCCAGTGTCATTTCTATCACCAAGGCCATATTTTCCAATTACTGGTGATTCTTCTTTGTTTCCAACTTTTGCATTCCAATCACCAGTAATAATCAACATATCTTGATTGCACGTTCGGTCAATTTCAGACTGCAGAAGTTCATAAAAATCTTCAATTTCCTTGTCTTTGGCTTTGGTGGTTGGTGTGTAAATTTGAACAATAGTAGTATTGTATTTCTTTTAGGTGTATGGATATTATCCTATCACTGACAAGATTGTACTGCATGATAGACCTCAAAACATTCTTTGTGAGGATATATGCCACACTATTCCTCTTCAATTTGTCATTCCTGGCAGAGTAGATCATATGATTTTTTCAAAATAGTCTAAACCAATCCATTTCAGCTCACTGATGCCTAGGATATCTATCTTTCATTTTTGGCTACTTCCAATTTTCCTGGGAGCTCTAGCGGCATAGTGCCTAAGGCATTTGACTGCTGACCAGAAGGCTGGTGGTTCAAACCCCCCAGCTACTCCTTGGAAGGAAGACTGGGCAATCTATTTCCATAGAGATACTGCCTTGGAAATCCAAGGAACGGTCCTTATGAGTTGGGACCAACTTGACAGCATTGAGTTTTATTGAGGTGCAATTTTCTTATATTCATACTTTGTACATTCCATGTTCCAATTATAATGGATATTTGCAGCTGTTTTTTCCCATTTTGAGTCATGCCACATCAGCAAATAGAGATCCTGAAAGCTTTACTCCATCTATGTCATTAAGGTCAACTCTACTTTGAGGAGGCAGCTCTTCCCCAGTTGTATTTTGAGTACCTTCCAACCTGAGGGTCTCATCTTCCAGCAGTATATTGGACAGTGTTTCAGGGCTATTCATAAATTTTTCTAGTACTATATCAGGCAGTATTTCCCTGCTATTCATAAGGTTTTCACTGGCCAATTTTTTGAGAAGTGGATGGCCTTCCTTCTTCCAAGTCTGTCATAGCCTGGAAATATCACTGAAACCTGGCCACCATGGGTGACCCTGCTGGTATTTGAAGTTCTGGTGGGATAACCTCCAGCCTCACCTCAACCCACAAGTACTACACTACAACAAACTGATAGACAAGTGGTGGTTTATTTCTATTATTAGTTCATAATGTCTTATTGCACAATATAAAATGTTTGTTTTCTCACTTTATTGAAGAAATTATTCTAGAAATAAATGTATTTACAGCCTGAAATTAATGGTTTGGGATTTTGCAAAGTACTATATTATTGGAAGAATGTCACTTAGATAAATTGATAGGTTTTGTCATCTCATCTGATGTAAGAATCACTAAATCCCTAACAGCAAACAAAAGTACAAAGCTCTGGGCAATATCATTCTTAGTAAGTCTACAGAAAATATAATGCTCCACATTCTTCTTCTGCAAAATAGATGATCATTTGTAGAAAAGCATGACTATTTATAAATACATCTACAATTTTTAAAATATTTTTCTTCAAGGGGTGGAGATCCATGCCTTTCTTGTTGAATGAGAGTTGATGTATTGCTTTTAACAAATAGAATGTAGGGGAACTGACCATGAGTGACTTCTGAGATTAGATCATGAAAGGCATTGTGGCTTCCTCTTTGCTTTCTTTCTGGGGTCACTCACTGTGGATGAAACCAGCTGTCATGTTGAAAAGATGCTCAAGAACCCATATAGAGAGAACCAAATGGTGAGGAATTGAGACCTCCTGACAACAGCAACTGAGGAGTTATGACCCCTAGCCAATAGCCGTGTGAACGTGCCATCTTGGAAGCAGATCTCCTAGCTCCAGTCAAGTCTTCAGGTGCTACTATTTTTAGTTAATGTCTTGATTGCAAGTCAGTTCTTGACTGGGAGACCCTGAGCCAGATCCACTGAGTTAAGTCTCTACCAAGCTGTGAGATAATAAATATTTGCTGTTTTAAGTCACAAAGCTTTGGGGTAATTTGTTATCCAGGTATAGCTATGGCAAATAAAGATTTTCCCTCCTAAGGATTCCATTCTTTTGGTATGAGATTATTTTTTTCCCCTTTGTGCTAAATAGATAAGATTATTCAAAAACTTTGTGAATTTTGAATTTTCATTGAAATAAAATTTTTAAAGTAATGAGAATGTTTTTCTCAGTTTGTATTTTGTTCATTTTACAGCTGGATTCTGATGGGACTATTACTATAGAAGAGCAGATTGTCCTTGTGCTGAAAGCCAAAGTACAGTGTGAACTCAATATCACTGCTCAGCTCCAGGAGGGAGGTAAAGACACTAAGAAAATTTTATCCCACAAAGATTGTAGATTTCCCTTCTTATTACTGTTAGAAGGATCCTAACAGTAATTCCTTATATTACCATGTGGAGGAATGTTTATTAGAATAACAGCCTTTTTTCCCATTTCTGTTCCACTTGTTCTTCCCTCCCTATGGAGAGAGTGACTTGCCTGATTAGTGAGAGTGGGAATAGGAATAGGGCATTTGCACATTAGCCTCTTTCTAGGCCTCTCTTTGGGACCTACCTGCCTGTAGAGATCATACATACTGGTTTGCCCTTGACTCTGCACTAGTAAACTTTGTGGAGCAGGCTTTGTCCTTATGGGTATTGACTGCAGTTTTAGGTAGTTAGTAAGTGCAATTCAGGAGAACAAATAAGCAAGTTATATTCACCAAAAAACTTTATTGGTAATAAAATTTCAAAAGAAAATTCATCTGCCTGACTTTTTATATACTTCTCAATTAGCTTCAAATTCAAGTGGGAAAAGGGAGGTGCTTTATTGAGTTCCCTAGATTCCCAATAATTGGAATGCAACAGGTAATGCCCTTATATCTATGATCCCATGATAAAACATACAATTTGATATCTGCTTTGTTCTAGTATCCAAAAAATTTTTAAAATATATATTTTTTTTGTAATAGAGTTCTTACTTAAATAGTTATGATCAAGAATATTGCCTCCATGATACTAATTTTTTAAAATAGGTTGAGACTTTATACTTGCTTATATTGTCTTTTAGTTGAAGAGTTTAGCTCAGATAATTTATTAGTAACGATTATTACTAATACACAGTATTTAAATTTAAATTTGAATACAGAATTTTTAATACATCCCCTCCATTATTAGTTATAATTATAATATACACTATATTTATTTTTTTTTGTGGTTATCACAGAAATTTTTTTATGGTTTATGTAACTTAAAACAAACAAAAAAACCCAAACTCACTGCCGTCAAGTTGATTCAACTCATAACGACCCCTCCTTGGGTTTCCAAGGAGGTATCTCTACAGAAGTAGATTGCCCAGTCTTCCTTCCAAGGAGTGGCTGGTGGGTTTGAGCTGCCAGTCTTCTGTTTAGCAGTCAAATGCTTTAGGCACTACCCCATCAGAGCTCCCACATGTAACTTAAGAAAGTTTAAAGCTAATTAGAAACTTCCTCCCTCTCAAATAATATATAAAGGTTTTAATACTTTAATTGGCTTCTCAAATTGTATGTTATTATCACATGGGATTTTCATTTTATTTTAATTTTATGTTATTGCACCATGAATTGTGCAGTAAGATTTTTTAAGTGTATTTAACAGCTTATTTTTTTCCCTCACCATTCTGTTTTGTACTTCATTCTGAGATAATTTTCCTTCTTCCTGAAGTATCTTTTAGAATTTCTTTAAGTTAGACTCTGTTTATAGTAACTTCTGTTTTTCTTTGTCTGAAAATGTCTTTATTTCAGTCTCAATATTGAAGATATTTTTTCACAGCATATTATCCTTGGTTGAAAATTATTTTGTTAGCCCTTTGAAGATATTATTTCAGTTCTTCTTCTAGTTTCCCCTGCACTATTGAGAAATTGGTTCTCAGACTTTGTTAGTGATTATTTTTTTCTCTCTGACTCCTTTTAGGATCATCTATTTGATTTTCATGTTCTGTAATTTTACTCTCCAGATAGGTACAGATTCATTGTATTTCTTGTATCAGAGGGTCTGTGTCTTTATTCAGTTCTGGGAATTTCTAAGCTATTTTGTCTTTGAAAATTTTCTCTCCCTCTTTGTTATGTTCTTCTGAAGCTTTAATGATAACAATGTGGAACCTTCCTACACTTTCCTCTGTGTCTCCAAATCTTGTATTTTCTCTCTCTCTTTATTTTTTTTTTCTCTGTAGCACTGTTCTAGTAATTTCTTTAAATCTATTTTTCCACTTTACTGACTCTCTCTTTAGCTTTGTTTAATGTTTAAATTTAATAGTCTCTTATGCCTTCAATCTTGGAAGGAAGATGGGGCAATCTACTTCCGTAGTGATACTGCCCGGAAACTCAAGGAGGGGTCACTATGAGTCGGATCTGACTTGATGGCAGTGTTTTTTTTTTCTTTTTTCTTTTTTTATGATTCAATATTTTTTTGTAATCTTTTCTTTATTAAATCTATTTTCTATCCACAGTATCCACAGACTTTGTTGGTCAATATTGGCTAACCACATGGTGGCATATTTCCTTGTGTATTTAATGATTCATATTAAGAAGCTCATGAAATTCAGATTTAAAGTAATTCCTTTAGATAACTTTATATTTGCTTTTGCAAGGTGCCTAGAAGAATTATCAACCTAAGTCCACTTTAAATGAATTTGACCACGCATGAATGTAAGCTTATGGTTAGAAATTATCAGGGAAGATATTTTTTTTCTTCACTGCTCCTCTCTCTCAACTCCAAATGGAGCTAAGGCTGAAACAGATAAATCTTCCTGAAGGATGATTTTGTTTCTAGCTCACCCACTAAGGCAGTTATATTTTGTGACTTCTAGCTTGAGATGTTTCAACAAATGTATGCAGCACTGGAGGTGCTCCTTTGTTTATGCCAAGAAATTTGGAAGACAGCTACCTGGCCAACTGACTGGAAGAGATCAGTATTTGTGTCCATTCCAAAGAAAGGTGATCCAATAGAATGTGGAAATTATTGAACAATATCATTAATCTCACATGCAAGTAATATTTTGCTGGAGATAATTCAAAACTAGTTGCACTAGTACATTGGCAGGGAATTTCGAGAAATTCAAGCTGACTTCAGAAGAGGATGTGGAATGAGGGATAACATTGCTGATGTCAGATGGATCTTGACTGAAAGCAAAGAATACCAGAAAGGTATTTACCTGTGTTTTATGGACTATGCAAAGACATTTGACTCTCTGGATCATAACAAATTATGGATAACATTGTGAAGAACGGGATTTCCAGAACACTTAATTGTGCTCATGAGGAATCTTTACATAGAGTAAGAGGCAGTCATTTAAACAGAACAAAGGGATGGATACTACATGGTTTAAAATCAGGAAAGGTATGCATCATGGTTGTATTCTTCCACCATGCTGCTTATTCAATCTGTGTGCTGAGCAAATAATCTGAGGAGCTAGCCTATATGAAGAAGAATGTGGCATCAGGACTGGAGGAAGACTCACGAACAGACTGCAATATGCAGATGACACACCCTTGTTTTCTGGAAGTGAAGATGACTTGAAGCACTTGCTGATGACAATCAAATACTACAATCTTCAGCATGGATTACACTCAACATAAAGAAAACAAAAATCCTTACAACTGGACCAATAAGCAACATCACAATAAATGGAGAAAAGACTGAAGCTGTCCGGGATTTCATTTTATTAGTCTCCACAATTAACACCCATGGAAGCAGAAGTCAAGAAATCAGACGTTGTATTGCACTGGGCAAATGTGCTGCAAAAGACCTCTTTAAGGTGTTATGAAGTAAAGACATCACTTTGAAGATTAAGGTGTGCCTAACCCAAGCCTTATCGTATTTTTGGTTGCCTCATATGCATGTGAAAACTGGACAATAAATAAGGAAGACCAGAGAACAGTTGATGCCTTTGAGTTGTGGTGTTGGCAAAGAATACTGAATATGCCTGGACTACCAGAAGAACAAACAAATTTGTCTTGGAAGAACTACAGCCTGAATGCTCCTCAGAAGCAAGAATGGCCTTTCTTGGGACCCTGGTCATAGGGTACATCAAGCTCAACTGGCATAACATACTACACAAAATCATTATTCCACATCCTATTTTGATGAGTAGAGACTGGGATCTTAAAAGCTTGCAAGCGGCCATATAGATGCAACAATGGGTCTCTCATTGTCCAGAGCAAAGAAGAATGAAGGAAACCAAAGATTCATGGAAATAATTAGTCCAAGTGACTGGTACACTATGTGATCCTCAGCCTATACGACTATGAGACCAGAAGAACTAGAGGGTGCTCGGCTACCACTGTCAACCACTCAGAGGGTAATCTGTGTAGAAGATCCTGGATAGAGTGGGAGAACAATGTGGAACTAATAATAATAATAATAATAATAAAATGACCGGGCTTGCTGGTCTGAAAGAGCCTGGTGAAACCCCTGAGACTATGGCCCCTAGCTGCCCTTCATGTTTGGAATTGAACTCACTCCTGTGGCTTCAAGTCAAATAAAAGACCAGCATACGGGCTGAGCATTTACATCAGGTAGATACACTCCTTGGAGAGATCAAACATGGGAGAACAGAAGGGCAGTGTATATGCACGAGGAGACCACTCAGGGGGCAGGAGTGTATGGGAGGGAAGGACACAGGGAATAGGTAACTGTGGGGAGGTAGTGGGAAGAGATTGTTACATTGTGGAAAATTGCAGTCAATGTCATGAGACAAAATGTGCATGAACTGTTGTATGGAAAGTGAAATTGCTCGTAAACTTTCACCTAAATCACAATAAAAATTAAAAAAAGAAAAAGAAAAAAAGAAATGAATGGCCTTACTTGTCTCACCTACTTTGATCATGTAGTTAGAAGGGACCAGTCCCTGGAGAAGGATATCATGCTTGGTAAAGAGGATGGTCATCAAAAAAGAGGAAGAGCCTCAATGGGATGGATTGACACAGTGGCTACAACAATGGGCTCAGGTCTGGCAGGGATTGTGATGATGGCTCATGATTGGGCAGTGTTTCCTTCTGCTGTATGTGGGGTTGCTGTGAGTCGGAGCCAAATCAATGGCACCCAACAGCAACTACGGTAGCTTGAAATAAAAGGACTCTTGGTAGTACAGTGGTTAAAGAGTTTAACTACTAAACCAAAGCTTGGCAATTCAAACCCACCTGTCACTTCATGGGAGAAAGATATGGCATTCTATTTCTGTAAAAATTTATAGCCTTGGAAGCCCTTTGAAGCAGTTCTACTCTATCTTATAGGGTTACTAAGAATTGAAATTGACTCAATGACAGTGGGTTATTTGGGGTTTGGCTTGATAAAAGGATCCTCAATCTAGTTTTTATCCTCAGCTGGTCTCAGTCTTCATCTTTTTTTTTTTTTTGCCTAAACACCACTAAAACTCAAGCTCTAAGCCACTAGATCAATAGATGCCCCTAGGATAAGTCCAAATGCAGTATGTACTGAGACTATATAATATTATTGGCCTCAGACTGATTTCTATACTGCATAGCCAGCTAAATCGTACTTTAAAAAGATGGATTTCATTCCAGTCTTATCTTTGTAGGTGGGAATTCTCTGTAGGTTAGGGAGCTCTGGTGGCATAGTGCCTAAGGCATTTGACTGCTAACCAGAAGGCTGGTGGTTCAAATGCACCAGCCACTTCTCAGAGGGAAGATTGGGTACTCTACTTCCGTAGAGATATTGCCTCAGAAACCCAAGGAGAGGTCACTATGAGTCGAAATGGACTCAACGGCAGTGAGTTTTCTTTTGTTTTCCTCTGTATAGTTAGCCTAATAGTGCCAGAAAAGGGGATTCTTCATGCTACTCTCTAAAAAACACTGACTAACATCTCAGATGTGCTGATCTACCAACAAGGAACAGCAGCAACACAGAGGAATTTGTAGGGATTATTATCTATGAAGGCTGACTGAATTATTTTCTATGAAGTCTCATAAAAATTTGAGCTGGAAGATATATCAGAGATTGTCTGATTCAACATTATGATCTTTAATGTTTCTTTAACATTTCCCAAACCATTAAGTGCCACCATGTATTGCTGAATAAGATTCAATCTTTGCTTGTTGAGCTGATTATCTGTGAAGCTCGGAGAGTAGATACTTTTTGTTATGCTGTGTACGTTTCACAACAGAGGTATTCACAATTACGGGACCTCTGAAAAGCATCTTAATTCATTATAAGGGGCTGAGAGATGACTTCCTGGGGGAATAATCACCTCATCTTAAAACTAGAGGATGGGTGGGAGTTAAATGTGTGAAGAAGGAGGCAAAGGCATTTCAGGCTGAAGGAATAGGATACCCAAAGGCAAGGAAGTG